TTTAATGAAAAAGCATTTTTCCCATTTCATTTGGTAAAATGAAAAAAAAAAACAAATGAAATGGGAAAAACTCCAGTATTCCAAGGTGAAAAAGATTCAAACTGAGCAGATTATTAATATAAACATGGAAAGAGAGAGAGTTAAAGTATTGAGCAATTAAAAAGTTGTATAATGATTCAACATGTCCAGTATTAAGCAAGAAAGGACAAAAGAAGGTATCCCCATCAAGTATTTAAAAAATAAAGGAACAAGAAAAGGAAAGTGAAAAAAATCTGTCAGTTTTGGAAGCCATTTTTTCTTTCTAGCTTCTTGACTGCCACATATTTTAGCCTGGGAAATTGGGAGTTTTTTTGTTGGAGTGGTGGAAACTTAGCTATAACAACAACCCTTCCTTACAAGGACATTTTCCTGCACCTGGATGGGAATGACTGGGGATTGTCCTCAGTTGAGTCTGATGATGGATTGGACCATGTGATGGACTTGTGGGTATAGAACAGGGTTGTGAACTTTCAATTGGGTGGGGAAAACCTGGAAGCTTTCTGATTTGGGTTTTCCCAGATGTGCCAACATGACATCTCTAATAAAGTAGAACTTTGAAGAATTTATTGCCTTGGAGTTTTATTTCCTTGAGGATGTTTTTTTGGAACCCTGACAAAATCCTTTTTAACAGGGGAAAATAATAGGAAAAATTGCCCTGAAAATACAAATACTCAGACTTAGCAGGTGACAGTAGGTTTTGTGGTGCTCCTAGTTAATATTTGGATGGGAAACTCCCAGGGAGCATGGAAGACTATTGGCCTAAACTGGACAGTTGAAAACTATCCCAAAAGAAGGTAATAGCAAACCATTTCCATGGTGCTGCTGAGAAAACTGCATGGATATGTCCATGAAATCATCAGAAATAAAGCTAGACTTGAAGAAGACTTAGTTTTTACTTTAGTAATGTTCAAGAGAAACTGCAGAATAGGTTTTTATAAGTGAATTTTATAGAATGACACCCATTTGCAAAGAAACAGTATACTGTATTCAGAAACTATTCCCACTAAAAAATGATGCTACCAGAGACAATTAACCGACTGCCATACTGGAAAACACACATCTGAAATACCCATAGAACTATTAAAGTTGCAGAAGAGACTGTGAATATCTGGACAGGGTAAAAAAAAAGCTCAGATTAATTCCTAGCAAGACAAAATTGCTGTTCATCAATAAACAACTAAGAATCCCAGTAATTTTGATGGGATCATGCTCTTCCCAAAGTGGTTTATGACTTAGATTTTTCCTGGACTCTCAGCTTCCACTAAAACAACAGGTGAAAATTTTGGTCAGGGGAAGGAACCTTTACCCAGCTTTGGCTAATTTGCCAGCCATTTTAAATGACCTGCACCTCAATCACCACTCCTTTGACCTAACATCTGGGACAGGAGGAGGGGTACTACGGGAGTCAACCTGGAACTACAGCTGCTGCAGAATCCAGAACCTAGATTATTGCAGGAACACCTTGCCAGTACAGAATATCACCAATCTTTAAATTGCTGCATTTGCTTACCACTACTGTATGTTTTGAGACTCAAATCAAAACGCTGATTATTAAAACCCTGTATGACACAGCACTGGGATAAATCAGGCAATGCCTTGTTAGGACAAAATCTGTATATACCGTAGGTCTTGAACATCTAGAGAAGGTCTGTTGAGAGTCATCCTCCTTGTGAGGTTCATGGGGCCACATGTTTATGGACAAGCCGCCTTAGAGGTGGCTCCCATTCTTTGGAATACCTACCTCTAGTGACATGGACAAACAAGTGAAAGTCATTCAGTTTGAGCTTGCTTTTGTTTCAGTATTCTATTTGTTTCCTTATGGCATCTTTTATTCCATTGTCACCCACCTAGAGTCTTTTAAGGTGGAGTAGAATTGAACATTGAGAAGGATATAGTTGAAAGATTTCCAAGTAAAATGGTCAATAAGAACATGACTTTCACCTCTAAAATCCCACCATCCCTTTGCATGAAGAAGAAAAACCTTAAAAGAATCATCCTTGTGATCTGAAAAAAATAATTGGTACTACTCCGCGCACTCCTATCCAGTGTGTTGCTCATATTGCTCATGATGGAACAGAGGGCCACTGTTTGCCATATGAATGAGGTCCATGAGAAGACAAACAGATTTACGATCAGGAATCTACTACCATTCCTAGGTCAACGGATTCATTCTCCTTACAGAAGAAAGCATGATGATACTTATTGGTTTTATAGGTTTTAGCGCTGGATGCATTTGCAGAGTGCTTTTTTTCTAGGTTTGCTTAAAATGTAGAGTTAAGAGAAATGAAAGAAAGTACAGAAGAAGGGAGAAGGTTGACTAGAAAAGAAAATAATTAATTGAAGATCTACTTCGTATTCCATGCAAAAGAATGAAGAAGTACTATTGCTGAAACAATGAAGAGAAGATATACATTATGTTCTCCCTCCCCCCCACATCGCCCCATGAAAACAAGCTTCCTGCACAAATACATATAAGACCAAATATAAAACCTGCAGAGATCCCAACCCCATATTATGAAACCGATCAAGAAAAACGTTAAACAAAAGGGAGGCAGCTTTGGTCATTCTCTATTACTGTATGTGCCCTTTTACCTGGAATTGAGCGCTGATGCTAGGTGGCTTCTTCTTCTTATGCAAATGCAGGAGGGATTTTGTGGTTCGGTCATGCAACGTCATGCTCACGATGAGTTTCAAAGACTTTGAGTCCAGTAAATTCTGCAGCCAAGGAATATTTATTTATTTATTTTATATGTTGCCCATCTCGCTATCAAGCAACTCTGGGCAGCTAAGCTAATATGCCATAGTCATAATTACAATCCCATGAAGGCAGGCACTATAATTCCAGTGCTGAAACGACACCATTTGGTGGGATGAGTGTATTAAATTATGCTTCATTCAGGCTCTTTTTTTGTTATCAGCCATAGAAATGGAGATCAGATAGGAAATTATGAAGAAGAGGTAAGCGCCTGTTTATGGACTTCACCAGAGGACTTAATTTTGGTTACATGAATATTTTTCATCCTTCTCTTAATAGCCAAGAATTTTATTTTCACTTTATATGAAAACAGAGATTCACATGTGTCACAGCTGCACTCAGCATTTCCCAAAATATAGTGACATACAGTGTCACTGTACCAGGGGTGGGTTTCTCACCCTGTTCCAACCGGTTCGGCGTCGTCGTGCACGCGCGCAGTGCGCGCAAGCATACTAGCGTCTGCGCAATGCTCCAGCTCTCCTGGACGATCGCGCAGGCGCTGTATGCGTCCTGCGCATGCATGGAAGCGCAGAACTCGTCAAAACCGGGTAAGGACCGCGGGCGGGCGGGCGCGCCCTTCGCCGTTCCCGGAAGTTACTTGTTTCCGGGTTCGGCGACCAACCGGTTCGCAGGGACCACCGCGAACCGGTTGAAACCCACCCCTGCACTGTACATACTATACTATATATACTATACATACATACTGTACATATTAGTTAGTGTATAATTTACTGTTGCACATTTTTAGCAGAATTCACATAATACGCACATGCTTTGCAAAATGTAAAATAACTGACCCCAAAATGCCCCCCCATTACCACATATATTGGAACCCTAAAACATAAGGAAGCTCACCTTTGGGATGATCTGCTTTTGTTTCATACCTCTGCTCTTCCTGTTAAAATATTAGAAATCATTGGAGTGATAAAGTATTTTTAAACATGCAATTCGGTTAGTTCAGCAAAGCCACATCTTTCAAATTAAACCAAGAAAAGCAGACAAGAACAAAATGATGGCTAAGTAGTTCTAAAGAGATGGTGGAATTGAGCTACAATGGGAATACTGATGTGAGACATAAAATCTTTGAGTTAATTCTATGCTGCCAACCCCGGAGATTTTTTTGCCACACACTGAAGGTGTGCTAATGGGGGAAGGGAGGGGAGTCAGCCTTAAAAAAGAAGCACAAAGCTGCGGATTAGGGTTTCTCAACTTTGGCTGCTTGAAGATGTATGGACTTCGATATGGCTGGCTGTGGAATTCTGGGAGTTGAAGTCCACACAACTTCAAGGGGCCAAGGTTCAGAACCACTGAATTGGCTTATCCTGTGACAGAGCAGGACTCTGTATTCTTCCATGAATCTAAAAAAATTTAGACTTTAAATTTAGAGTTTAAATTTTAAAATCAAAGGATTTTTAAAAAGCTATCCTTCAAAATAACGGTCCCTGCCAAATAACCTCTGATATCAACAAAAACTGACACTTAAACAAGACAGGAGATGTAGGGACTATCTTCTGTTTAAATATATCTCATTTACGCTTCCAAGGATGCCATTTGAATAATTTATATTTAAAAACTATTGCAAGAGGTTCTAGATAACAGTTTTCCAAGTTCAACCCCTGGCATTCTAGATGAAAATCATCTTCCTAAAACTGAGAAAATTTCTGGCAGTCAAAAGGAGGCAATACTAAGCTAGTAGATGAACAGTCTGACTAAAAACAAGGAAGCTTCATGTCTTCCTGTCTGCCTAAATTCAGAGGACATTCGGTGAAAGCATCTACCACTAGTCCAGTGTGAAACTGTCTTTTGGGAACCACAGAAAAATGGCAGTTCCAGCTCATCCTCTTGCTGTGGGACTGAAGAACTAAAAAAAAAAGAGGGATTCCTTTAACAAAAGGATTAAGGCTCTTTTTCTGTGCCTTATAACTTGCCTTAAAAGTTACTTGATGTAAAAGAGTTATAAATTTTTAAAATAAAAAAATATGGCATGAAATAAGGACAAGAATTTAACTGTGATTAAAAATGTCTTCTCTAAATCACAATGCAAAGAGGCTCCTCTTTCTAAACTCTCCTCGGCCTGTTTTATAGGCAGTCCTCTTTTAATTCAATGACCATTCAGAGTTACCTATAACATTGATGAAAAAGCAACTTTGGCGATCAATCCTTGCGTTTACAACCTCCACAGGTCTGTAAAGCAAAGGAAAGCTTCAGTTGTTTCACTTAATAACCGCTTCATTTAATAAAAAAAGTTGCTGGTTCATTGTGTTTGTTAAATGAGGATTAGGACTCAGAACGATAAGGTTTTTCACTTGGATATATCCAAAAATCTGAAATAGGAAAAACCTGAATACTCTTCTGCAACGCAGTGTCTTTTTCTGAAACACGGTTGAGAGAATCTATCTATGCTTTTCAGGCTCTCCACGTTGGGAGATTCTTGGCAAAGGGGGAAGCGTATGTTCATTAAGAACTTAACTGAAATTGCTAAGTCAAGGCCTGCCTGCCTTTGAATACATACATGCTAAAAGCCAGAATAATGCAATTTTTATGTCTTCCAACTGAGGAAATCTACCATGGGCACTTCTGCATTTTCTGCACATGAAATAAGAGCCACATTCCGCAAAACTGAGAGGAAAGTACCTCAGTAATTTCCACAAAATGCGAAATGCTTCAGATTTGCACACGTTTGCTTATGCACTCTGCACAGCACCACTCTGCAAAGCTAAAAAAACTGAGCTTCCCTTTCCCCGCTCCCCTCCCCCCCCCCACCTGCCCCACAACATCCTTTTTTCCACAAACTCACAGGAAATGGCAACGGGGTTGCTGGTACCGGCTGAGTGACTGCAGGAGCCTGCGGGGATCTTCACCCTGCCACGGCAGGCCCTTTATACTCCTAACTATTTGCTCATGCAAGTCCCTAAGACGTGATGGACACACACCCAAAACAAGGCAGACAAGACATATGAGAAGACACATAAAGAGAGAGGTGTGTGAAAGAGAAGCACCAGGAATTAAACAAAGGAGTCGCTAGCCCGCTATTGTCATATGGGCTCTGAAAATGTCAAACAAGAGGTTTTTCTCCTGAGCTGACCATATCTTAAAACTTGCTCATCTTGAATATAAAATCAGGATGAATCCCCTTAATTTGTAGATTTGGTAACATAAGATCGAATGTGACAAAGATTGCTATTTTGGAGATGCCTCCAAAGCTGTTCACATTTTGGATTGTGGGAGAAGATTTTATCAGTTTCAATGAAGTAGTACTCATAGCAGGCCATTGCCCAGCTATCAATGTATTTTTACATCAGAGACCATGCCAAATAAGACTGGGTGTCAACCTTCAGATAAATAAATAATGATTTGGGTGATTTATTTATTCATTTGGCATGGTATTTTTAGACCTGTTTTATGATCCAGTGGTTGAAAGGTGCACGAATTCCCCACAGAGTATACCCTGCAGATAAAAATACAGTCCCCGAATGAGATGTGAATATTGAAACTAGTTTTCCAGATAAGATTCTTCTGTACCAGAAAAAAAAATCAGGTTTAATTCAGGTTTCTAGTTTTCTAATGCACATATATCCTCTGAGTAAGATTGTACACAAATTGCAAATGAATTCTGCTCCATGTTTAGTTCCTACAGTCAGCCTGGAAAGTGCCCCAATAAATGAGTGATTTATCAGCCTTCCAAATCATGCAGCATGCTTGTGGACAGCTTTATTCAACACAAAAACTTACCTTTGCCACTCTCCAGAGAGGCAGAAATTAATAACAAAGAAAACCAAGAAAGGAAGCCAAGGAAAAAAGAAAGAGAAAAAAAGGTGACAGAAGTGTAAAAAAAGGTCATTCCTGGGCAGAGGAACAGTCTTCATTCTTCTGAAACACACTTCTTTCCACTTCTTGTAAGAGGCCCTGTTTCTCCTCTACATATTTTAAATTTAAGATACAATTACAGCATTCCACTTCAGCGTTAAAAAAAGGAACACAGGTAGTCCTCGACCTACAACAGTTCATTTAATAACTGTGTAAAGTTACAAAGGCATTGAAAAAAAGTGACTTAGGACCATTTTTCCACACTTATGACCACTGTAGCATCCCCATGGTCATGTGATTCAAATTCAGACGCTTGGCAGGTGACTCATATTTGTGACGGTTGCAGTGTCGCGGAGTCATGTGATCAACTTTTGTGACCTTCTGACAAGCAAAGTCGATGGGGAAGCCAGATTCACTTAACAACTGTGATGATTTACTTAGCAACTGTGGCTAGAAAGGTCATAAAACGGGGCAAAACTCACTGAGCAACAGAAATTTGGGGCTCGATTGTGGTTGTAAGTCGAGGAACTGCCTGTACGCTCCATTATATCTGCAGTATTTTGAGTTGCCTAAGAACACCCCAAGGGTGAGTTCCAGTGACTTCTGGAATGAAGCTGGAGAAGAAGACTCCAGTGCCTTTTTTTTAATCCCTGGTTTTCTGAACCAGGTCATTCTCAGGTCTGTCTGCCCAGGATCGTGCTTCCCTTGCCACAGTGGCAAGCTCCTCCTCCACCTTTACCCACTTACTTCTTGCTTTCATAGGAAGCAATGATGTCTTCGAAAGCGTTTATATCAAAATCCTCAGAGCAATCAAATGAGAAATCAAGTACTGAACAGCTGCAAAAAGGGGAACATGCAACGATGCTCAATCAACCAAATAATAAGGCAGGTAGAAAGGCAAAAAGCTTCAGGCTAAGTTGGCCAGACGTACCCTCACCCCCCACCCCCAAGTTTCATCTTCTTATAAGCCTTCTCCAAAGGAAAACAACAACAAGAAGCCAACTGTGCTTTGGTATGCCAGGGAATGGATGAACATCATCAAGAAAGCCACAGCATATCAAAAGGAAATAAAAAGTATCAGGAAGAATCCATTAACGTTCTCTTGTGTTTCTAGTATTTGGTATCCTAGGACTGCAAAATGTAACTGATAAATTTATATATGTGTATTTTTAATAGGGTAAAACGATATCCCTTAAAACTGCCAATAGGTATTGTGTTTCCCTGAAAATAAGACCAGGTCTTATATTAATTTTCGCTCCAAAAGATACATTAGGGCTTATTTTCTAGTTGTCTTATTTTTGGGGAAATATAGTACTAAAAGCATCCATCTGACTGACAATCTTAACTGGGGCTATATTTTTGGGATAGGACTTATTACAAGCATCCTGAAAAATCATGTTAGGGCTTATATTCCGGTTGGGTCTTATTTTCGGGGGAACATGATATATAGCGTCTAGTATTGTCTACAACCTAAAGAGTATTATTTATTCAAATCACACACAAACACACACACACACATTTGACTATCAATTTAAAATTCATCTCAACCATTATTTTTAACTGCCACAATGCTCAGCTGCATGAAAATTCTAGTCTGCTAACAACTTATGCTAAATGTTGCTATTACACAACACTTCAATCAGAAAAGGCCGTGGGTATCTCTTTGTACAGGCTTCCAACTCTAAACAGAATTAAAAGGGAAGCCCGTCGTTCCAAAGGTGAGCTCTTTAAAAAATGCCAATTTACAGTGCCAATTTAGAACCTTAGTGCCTCTGCAATTAGCTGAAATTGTGGTACTCGGACTGCAAAGGTGTCCAGAGGGGTTGGAATCCATTATCTTTAGCCAAGCTAATTATCAAATGTTAGCATATTAATTGGAGTGGTGATATGAGCAGGGATGGGGACTGTGGATTTCAGTCAGATCCTATTTCCACCCCAAATTCAAGTACTGTTGTGAAAGAAAACTTAAGAATGTAAAAATAGTTGGGCTCTATCAAGCAACAGGCAATGTTTTGTCTCTCTAGTGCAGTGATGGTTAACCTTTTCGGTAACCAAGTGCTGAAATTGGAATGTTCGCGCGCCAGAGCAGAGCAGCTGGCGACGGCGTGCATGCCCACATGTGCCATAGGTTCACCATCATTTGCTTGCAGCTAGTATTTGGTCGCCCCAGCCTGGAGGTAACCATGAGAATGCAAGACAATCAGACAATCTTGTCCTCCATGAATTCGTCCAACCCTTTAAAGTCATCCAAGTTACTATCAATTAATTCCATCGATTATTGACTCATGATATCAAGAAATGCTTTCTAAATCTCCTTCCAATCAACTTTAATACGCTACAGTCCTATTTTTCTGAGAAGAAGAAAGGTTTTTCCTTGCTTTCACCTTGTCATGTATGATTTTATAAACCACAATCATGTTTCTCCTCACTTGCCTTTTTTTTGGGAGCTACAATTCCCAACATACTAGTCTTTCCCCTCCAGATTTTTGAATCCAATCATTCTATTGACTCTTTTCTTCTCAATTTTCACTCCTATATTCGTCTTCAAATGTAAAAGTAGTGTTCCAGATGAAGCCATCACATATTTACAAAGAAAATTTACAATACTAATTGAAAATAAACTTCTTGAGGAACCTAACATGGCATTTGTCTTTTTCACTGCTATCGTACATTAAGAGGGGAAAAAAACCACATGTGAATTCAAAGTCTTTACTGTACAATATAGTGGAATTAATTTCTCTCTTTAAACTACAGAGGCCAACTGTGTAGGATTTAAGTAGGATTGCTGAAATAAGAAGCTCTGAAAATGGGAAAGGAAAAAAACCCACAAAATTTGACAAAGAAGTAGTAGTGAAGATGCCAAGTTACTCTTGCAATGCACTGATTTCTTCATCATACTGAATTTCTCATAAGAGCTCATTGGTCCCTTGTTGAGAAGCAGAGAATCTTTATCATTCACCATCTCTCTTCATGTTTTTTCCAGAGGGATTGCAAATTTATCTATAGTTCTGTATAAGTTAAATATAAAAACAAACATCTAGGGGCTATTTTGGTAAAACGAAAAACAAGATCAGAAACCAGTGCAGTGCAAGGAATGGTCCTTTTGTCAAAAGAAACCAGGACAAGGATAGAAATGTAACAACAATAATAAAAACCAATTAAATGTGCTTCTTACCGATAAACTCTCTCAATTGGGGTGTTGCTGTGTTGCAATTCCCCAAGTGGGATCCTGGGTCCATGGCGTATTACCCCTAGAGGAAAGGGGGGGAAATCTATATTGGCATAACCGCCGTAGCTTTTGCCAGCTTTCACCAACAACATTACTCTTTTATAAATGGGATTATTTGAGTGGCCGTCTTGACCTACATCCTTCATGTGTAAAAGCTAATTCAGAATCTTTTAGAGACTGGCACTAGTATTACTGCATATTAAATAACTTAAAATGACTCCCAGTCTCAGTTCTTGAGGCTGATTCAGCAAAACCTGAAACCAAAAATCAGCAAAATAACCAAGTGGAAACAGAATAATGGGAATACCCAGGTGATCATTTGAACAGGTTGCAGGCAAATAAGTAGCTTTTTTTATATAATGGTCTCAAAATGTGAATGAGCAGTAAGCTGTTTATAGGGCTGGTTTGTATATTAAATGCCACTTTTTAAAAAGGAGCTTGACACAGAATACCCTAGTTCTTTCTCCTCACATTTTTTCCAAAGCAATCACCCAGTGGAATAGGTTGGGTTCAGGGAGAGGGTGGTGTCAGATGCATAATCATGATGCAATCGATGACAGGATTGCTTTGGCAAAGGCTGCATCTCACACTGCCCAAAAGTCCATCTTGAAATACTTAGCAAAACTGAAAGTCTACAGTGCCCCCCATCGTTAACTGCTTCAAGGTACTGTACATACTTCAGAAGAGAAGTTACATTACCAATTGTCCCAACTGATTATCCTTTAATAGGTAACGGCTGCTTTGGAGTTTATAATAAGGCCACACTGTTGCAGTGGTTCATTTGGAATATTGTGGAAGGTAATTTATTTTTTCATGAACTATCAAATATAGAAAGAGATGAGGATCGTTTTGGAATGGAGACACCAGTGCAATAGAAAGATGCATTTGAAAAGATAAGTACAGAAATTCTCTAAGGTCTCATAGTGGACCAGTGAGGTTGTCTTCCATGAAAGTAATCAGTCAGTTTGGACAGCCATTGACTTCTCTGAAGGCTAACAATAACCTCTGGGTTTGTAATAGAGATGGAAGAGATTGGAAAAGATTCAGTGAACCTGTCAAACTTTTAAATAAAGAATGTGAAAAACTGAGATATCTCCAGTGGGACAATGATTGAGCTAAATAAGCAGGAAAGTAGATATGGAGCCAAGAAAAAAATCCAAATGTGGTCATTTAAATGTAACAAAAAAGCTAGGACATTACAAGTGTTCAAATCCTCACAATGTTGAACTGGTACGAATGAAGAGGATAAAGAGAAACGAGCGCCATTCTTTATCTTACAAAAACAGGATGGTGACTCCAGGAGTTTACTATATAAGGTTATGGTCTTTGGGGAGAAGAAATGTGCTCTGTGTTGGCTGCCATTGAGAATCTAACCTCCTTCTGTTGACCCAATGTGCAGTAAGAGAACAAAGAAAGATATGTGGGAGGCTTGGGATGGTAGGAATGAGGTACAGTAGAGATTGAATATGATCACAATGCTCTCCTTGATGTCTAGGATTTCAACCTCAGAAACTGAATCCTTAGCAGTCTCTTGAAACTTGCAAGCTCAAGAATTCAAAGAGTTCAGGAGGAGAGATATATGGCAATAGCCCTCAAAGAGATCATTCGCTACAGATGGAAGTATCTACAAATAATTGTGTGTCTATAGCTTAACCTTCCGAATCCCCTAAATTACACATAGTTATAGCAGAAGCTATAACTATACAGGGGGTTATAGCTCAGTGGCTAAGATGCTGAGCTTGTAGATCAGAAAGATTGGCAGTTCAGCCGTTTGAATCTCTAGTGCCGCCTAATGGAATGAGCTCCTGTTACTTATCCCAGTTTCTGCCAACCTAGCAGTTCTAAAGCATGTAAAAATGGAAGTAGAAAATAGGGAAAGCTGGCTGAGGAATTCTGGGAGTTGAAGTCCGCCAGGCTTAAAGTTGCCAAGGTTGGAGGCCCCTGCTCCAAAGCAAAAAATATTCTTGTTGAAAAGATCTGATGGAGGAGATTTTTCACATACTTTTGGAATTTGTGGAATTGGCCCTTCACGTCCATTTCAACAATTATAGGGGCGGGGGGCGGGGAGGAAGGAAGGAGCATTAGGGATGTTCAGAACCTTGAGTTATTTATAATAATAAATAATAAAGGTGGCATAAGAAACAAACAAACAGATTGCTCATCGTAAGTTTAAATAAATGAAAAGAGCCCATAGATGGGCCCAAAACAAAACCCAAACCAATAGGAGAATGCAAGAGAAGGCAAGGAAATGATCAATCAAAGGATGAAAATGATGAAAACATTTTTGAGCAATGTTCAAAAAAGTACTCTGGGAAAAAACACCCATATTGTAGCAAATTGTTATCACAGTTGCTTAAAATAACTGAGGGATCAACAGGAGCCATATCTATAGATGCAATGAAAACAGGAGGCGTGGCTTAAGCTCTGAAAGTTTCCAAAGGAACCTGCACAATATCCATCTGTGTGAATCGCAGAAACCACAATGAAGAAACTGGTTTGTTGGTTCCTCTTTGGATTATTAATTGTTCAGAAAGACTCTTAAGCAGTGACAAGAGGCATGAAGGAGGACCATTTATAATTCATTTAAATGCATTTATTTCCTTTTGAAAATCAAAAGTGACCCTTAGTTGGCTTTCAATAATCAGAAATACAAATTTAAAGTAAAATAGATAACATCAGTAGTATTACATGAAGTAGGTAAGTATAAACTACTACATAAATATCACATTTAAAGCAATTCTATGGACAGATTGTATGAACGTTATGAGCCCGCCTTATTCCAAATTCAACTAATTTATATTCATCCTAGCATAGCTTCCATCTTTTCAGATAGTTAAGCAGCATGGGTCAGTCATCATTTGCCATCTAAGTTTGTTTTAACTGGAATTGCTGAGGAATTAATCTGGATTACATTATCTGAAGACTGAAAGTCTTCTATACTCTTAAACTGTAGATGTCGATATTTTGATTACTTCTGCTGTGCTTGTGCTTACCTGCTGTTTTCTCAGCTCTTTGGCGACCCCCTTCTGCAAAAACAGCCATGGCGTGGATTGCTGCACGGAGGATAGCCCACCGGAAAACAGCCACTGGATCCATTCCAATCAGCTCCCGAACATAAGTGCTGTCACTGCTCCGCAGCAAGGCAACAATATCTGGCCGCATATAATCCATGTTCTTTTCACGGAAATCCTATAAGGAAGAATGGTCATGGAAGCCGAGGCACATAGCCAAGGTTATGCTCAAGGGATAGGTGGATTTAACCATGACTCTGCGTGTCTTCCTTCCCTTCTTTACCATGCTAAAGGTTGAGGTCTTCAAGACATGCTTGGCAGCAGGTTCACCGCTGGAAATCAGTACCATAAAATATACTTTGAGATGTCCACATACATTTGAAGTACATTTCTATTACAATGATGACTGGGCAATGGCAATGGATTCTCTGTGACCAAGGATGGGCTGCTACGGGTTCGCCCTGGTTCGGGAGAAGCCCTAGGTGATGTTATGGCCGTTTTGGAGAACCTCCAAAGCTGGTCCCACCCACCCTGCCCTCCCGAGTCTCCACACAGCCCATTTTGGATGTGAGGTAAGTGTAGGGCCTGTGCACAGGTTTGGGGAAGGGGAAAAACAGGCCTGTTTCTGGCCTCCGGAGGGTCTCCAGAGCCTGGAGGAAACAGTTTGTGCACTCCCAGAGGCTTGAGGAAAGTGTCCGGAGCCTGGGAAAGGCAAAAAGTCCCCCCCACCCTGCTGTGGTGCAGTACTCTAAGTAGAGCATGCCCATCATGGCCATGCCCACCCAGCAACCGGGCAGAGAACCCGTTGCTGAAATTTTTGAAGCCCATCCCTGTCTGAGTTCTTATTAAAGTGAATAGTTATTCAACATTGGAAAGAAAAACCTACGGCTTCAATCACTCATTGGAGACCTGGTGTCCCTGTGACTCATGACTGGATTGCTTACAGACATAAATTATGTACAAATGATGAAGAAAAATGATCATTTTTATTGAAACTCTTGTAAAACTTCCATTCCAAACTGACAAGATCAGATTTTTTTTTTAAAGGATGGGTTTTGGCCTGTTTCAACCAGCAAGGATCTTCTTATGACAACCAGACTTTTTTTTTCTTTGTTGATTAAGCCAAAAGCAATTCCTTGACATTTTGCATCTGGAATCACATTCCGATTACCTTTATCTGATATTTCACTTTGCCAGCAAAGTGTTGAATGATGAAAGCAGGTTCCAATACAGGAGTTCCAATGAAGAACTTGCTGTCCTCGTGCTGCTGTTTGAACTTTGCAAGAAGCGTCTCGCTAGTGGCATGTGGAAAACTGCAAGCAGCAAAAGAGGAAGCCACAGGCAGAAGAAATTATCTTTATCAGTAGAGATTAAACCTGACAAACTGGGGAGGGGATGATATCAGAAGTTTCCAAATGTAGAAAGGAATTCTGCAGGTAAGAAGATTGGCTACATTCCATTCACATTTACTGATATTCTTTTATAAGCAGTTTTAATTACACCATTGTTGCTACATCTTTAAAAGTATCCGTCATCTCTCCTAAGAATTTTTATAAACTGAAGAGGATTTAGTTAAAAATAATAATTAAACTTTTTCCTAGTTTCTGCTTTCTTCCCAGACTAAAAATTTAGAAATTCTACATCATGGCAATTCGTAACCTCTTGGAAGTAAGAGTCTAAATTCTATTGAATTCGTGCATGTTTCTTTAACTGTCATGTCATGGTAGCTTTGCATTTTTATTTGGTAAGTATCATTGTAGAATAAAGGCTATCCCTTCCTTCTTTTAATTGCTCCTGGTTGCATAATTTCACCCTCCACTATTAATGGGAAGGGAACTTTGTGCCTTTCCAAGCAGACAGTGTTCAGACTCCTATCTGCCTAATTTCACAAGTCATACATTTTTAAAGTTCAATAGCAAATCCTGAGCCCTAGCTATGTCCACTTGTTCATCTTTAACAGAAGATATAGTGCAAAAAAACCCCAGTTAATAAATTCAGTATCATTAATCATGGAATCATCACTTTGGAAAATCCTCTAGTCCCACTTACAAGTCTCTCCTTTCGTTCACATGCTTCAATAAATATTTAACTTATATTTCTGCCCCTGATACTTTATGACTGTTCTTCCCAGGACTTTTCTGTTCCAAATGATCTAATATTTAGTTTTGGGGGAATATATGCCTAAATGTGCTTTGCTTCCTGTTACTTTCATCCCTTTTATTATATAAGGCTTACTAAGCTGCAAATTTGTGGACAGAGGCTGTGCTTTCTCCAATCTTCCCTCCCTCCCAACTTCACATTTACACTTTGCGGCGTATAAGATGCACCAAGGTTTTAAAGTGGCAAATTTTGTTTAAAAAAAGTTTTTGCACTCTGCAAACCTCCCCAAAACAGCCCGTTTTTCATGAAAACAGGCCTGTTGTTCTTCAAAAAAAGTGCATCAATAGCCCTTAGGAGGCTTGTTGAGTATTCCTGGAGGGCTGGGGGGAGGGGGGATATTTAGGGAATATCATTATACTTTGTTTTCATATTTATTGTAGATTTTCTCCTAGTCCCACAGCTAGCTCTACTTACTTGCTTTCTTCATCTAGTAGGTAGAACAGACCAGTTGGTTTCTTGCCAATTAAATGGATGCAGGCCACATTGTCTGTATAGTCGATGTTGTGCCATGAAATCCCCTCACTCTGATACTCCTCCTGTAATAAGTAAATGCTGGAAATCAGGCATCAACTGCTTTTCTTTCTCTATATACTATTACCCCTTTACCTCTCATAATATTAGAACTCGGGCGTCATCTGACTGGCAGTTGAGGAGAGAAAAACAAATGAACTCTTTGTGCACCACATGGTTTAGGGAATATCATAAGGTGACAACCATCTGTTTAAGTGGCTTTCTTGGAGGAGAAAGAAGTATCTTACTGGCTACTGTGAACGAACAAAATCTCTAGGGCTGTCACTTTATTCTGTTTCTGAGTTTCTCAGAATTATCTGCTCATTATATATATATATATATATTAAAAAACAGAATGTGAATTAAATGGACCCGAGAGCTCTTATAATTTTAAAGCAAGAACATCTCCCCTTCCAAATCAAGATCTTGGCTAATAAAGAAAGGTACATGTCAGCAATTACAAACATAACAATGGCTTTCTTGTATAAATGACCATTTTGAGAACCAATTAGACAACTCATGAATCCCTAGATCAGTGTTTCTCAACCTTGGCAACTTGAAGATGTCCGGACTTCAACTCCCAGAATTCCCCAGCCAGCATTCGCTGGCTGGGGAATTCTGGGAGTTGAA